CAAATATTGCTCATTCTGTCTCAGCATCCCAAATGAGTGACAAAGGAACAACAGTAAAGGAAAGCTGAAATTTTCCTTTGAGCTGCTAGACATGGTATTGTCAATACTTAATGAGGACAATAAATTTCTGTCCCTGAAAAATGTATATAAGCTTACTTATTACATAAAGACACATATTCAAAGGGCCCTTTTTCAGGTAGTACTGCTTTTGGAGAGGTTTTAAATCCAGGAGGGCATGAGTCAAAAGCAGATATTCTGTAGCTTGCTTCTCAATAGCCAGTGCATTTAGACTCTGTTTCTTCTGCTTGTGACTAAGAGCCTCAGACACCCTGAGGAAAGAAGGTTCTCCTTGTTTTGCAAGAAAAAGCAGTCTAGAGCAGGGTTGTCAGACTTTCATTACAGCTGCAGAATAAAGATGAGAAATCAGTGTTCCAAGTAAGTGGTTTTGCAGTTAGAGCACTGTAGAATCTAATGCATTATGTGCCTGAAGAGGAAAAAATGTAAGGAAAAGCTAATAAGGTTGAATGTATTTCTCTTTTGGCTTTTCAGCAGAGTCTTACTTCCTGTGCTGCATTATCCTGATCAGCTCTAATATGTGCAGAACAGCAATGAATGCCAATGTACATTGCCCCCACCTCCCCTTCATTGTTTATACATTGGAATTTTTCTGTTCCAGTTTTCCTATAGACCACTGCAGGCTCCATGGCTTCCATTGGATTAAGTGTGCAGCTGTGATTTGCATGCATGAAGAAAATCTAACTGAATTTTCCATTTTTATTGAAAATATGAAAAAAAATTGTTATGTATTGTCCTCTGGGAAATAACTGCAGCATTTGAATAACGCTTAGAATTACATCAAAGATTGCAAGTGTGTGTGTGGGAGGAATGGCATAGCTATGCTTTAGAAAAATTACTTGGTTTGAGAGTATTTTGTATTGCTTTTTTTTAATGTTTGAGCTACCACATTTCTATTTGCTTTTGATGGAAGATGTTAGCTTTAGAAATGAAGATTTTTACCAATTAAGCATAATATGCATTTAATTATCTACTTTCCCAGTTTTTGGACTATTTTAACCCCTTTGTGTATTTGCACTGGCAATGCATTTTTTTGTTTTAAAGAAAAATTTATCTGCTGATAACGTGTATGGCTTTATGCCAAGAAAAGGATATTTACTCCTTTTATTTAATGCAGGGAGACAAGTAGTCCTTTTGCTTTTCACTCCTAGAATTCTGAAGCTTCTTTAGATGGTATAAGGAGAAGTCTTAACTGGTTTTGTGTCTATTTAGTAATCCATTAAATGCTTGCTGCTTTTTAGGAGGAAAAATACGTTAATATTGAAAACTGTGATTTACTGAAAGTAACATCAGCAGGAATGTGAAAAGAAGGATTAAGTTATTTAAACACCCACATTTTTAAAACATTCAGAAATCATAATTTCCAAGTGGTGATCCCTTTGTTACTGTAATGAAGATTTGTGGCTGACTCAGTGTTTTAAATATTTTCTATGGAATAGCCAGTTGTAGGGAGATGTGAAAATTGCAACCCTAAAGGATATTCCCTAAATAAAGGTGGATTTTATTTCTCAGTATTTTAGTGATTGCTGCCTTGTTAGATTTAAAATTCAAAGGCTAATAACATATACATGCAATTTTTTTGTGTGTGTATATTTGTCTTATTTCTGTTTAATCAGAATTAAAAAGAAAGTCGAAAAAAAAATCCGCACATTGTTGCAGTGTCTGTGCAAAAGCAGCAGGATCACAGAGTCACAGACTAGTTGAGGTGCTAAGGGACCTCTGGAGGTGATCTGTGCCACCTGCAGGGCCACCTAGAGCCAGTTGCCCAGGACTCTCTGGTGCTGCTTGGGTTGGGGGTTTTTTGTTTGTATTTAGTTTTGTTTGTTCGGGGGGGTTTGTTTGGTTTGGATTTGGAGTTTTTGTTTGATTGTGTTGGGTATTGTTTACTTGTTTTGATCCTTAAAAGCAACACTGGAGGTGCATCTACTGTGTTTCTCTGCTTAACTTCACTTCCAACTTTTCATTTTTTCTTCTTTGAGGGTGGTGAAAGAGACTTCTTTTAGGGCCATCCTGTGTACAAGTTAATTTGTCTCCTTTATTTGAGGAGTACCTATAACATAATCACCTTTGTCAAGGAAGGGCAAAGATCCTGCTGTGTGTTTGGAGCTTGCTGCTGTGGTTTTCAGTGCTGTTCAGGCACACAGTAATGCACATACTCTTCTGAAGAAATGCCTTCAGTAGGATTCCCTGTGTGATGGGAGATGCCATTATTTCCAGAGGAATACACAATTGCTTCTGTCACCTGGGGAATGTTGCTTCATTTTTTACTTTTTCTCCCCTGATCCATTGTTGTGTTATTCTGTTCTCATTCTCACATTTGCAAATTCCAACTGTCCTTTACCATTTTTAACCCTGATCATGGAACTGACCCTAAGCCAGGTCTTAGTTGGTCTCCTAAAGCTCTGTAACAGTTGTACTGTCTGAGAGTCCTTGTAACCACTGAACCTGTGGGCTGATTGCAGACAGCAGGGAGAGTTGTTTTAACTCCCTGTATGTTTTATGAAAATGAGTGGCCCATTTGAAGGCAAGTGATCATTAAATCTCGTGAACAGGAAGGACTGAGTTATGAGCTCAGCTGCTATTAAACATCAGAGAGCTGGGAAGAAGAGGAGTTACAAGTACTGTGATGAAAGAAGGAAGTAAGCTAATATTGGTCCTTACCTTTTTATTTGATATCAGAAATCCAATTAGAAAGCAAAATCCTGTAAAGTCAGGCTTTATGCTTCCTCTTCAGTTGGGTGCTTCTTTATGAGATGGTCAGAATTAGCGAAGTGGTTCTTTCCTCATCTGCTTTTGTGTAAGAGTTGGCAACAGCAAATCAGATGGTAATTTTTCTTTCTGGTAGTCATTTGATGTTGAGGAATAAGAGACTCCCAATACAAGGTTCCAGAGCAGTTAGCATGTTTCTCTTTGTCTTCAATGACATTGAAGGGAAGGTGCTATCTTGGATACTGGTGAGAAAGTGATTGGATTGTCATCTTTGTTCTTTGCTCCTGCTCTTACTTTCAGGAATTTGAATTCTGTGAGAAGGCCTTAATAGTAATGAACACTCCCAGCACTGGCTTTATCATGCACAGAGCCCATCACCAGGCTTCAGCAGTGTGGGAGTGGTGCTAATTCCACCCAGTCACCAGTTCAGTTTTGCACAGACAAGAGGGTATCTCCAGTTTGGTTTTCCAGGATGTGTGCTGAGGAGTGAAGGAGAGAAGATGGTTAACCATTGATGAGTCTAATAAAATGCATTCTTGTTACAATGGCAGCAGCCAGAATGTGGTGCTTGAGGAAGTGGGGGTAAGTGGTAACTGCTCTCTGAGGCTGTGAAACACAGGCCAGCCTAGAGTCACTTCTGGGTCCATATACTTGTGTGAAGTTTTATGACCTTGAGAATCTGCAGGTTTTTCCAATGTGTTGGTATTATTTAGATTTTCATGTGGGTTACCAGTACCAAAACATTATTGGCTTTATATGTTATAGAAAATTCAGAGTTAAATGCAACCAATATCTGAGGGAAAGTTGAAGAGTAATTTGAGGTGGGATGAAGTGGAACAAAAGTAGCTGAACCAATTCTAATAGTAAATGAATATTAAAAGGGGAAGTTGTTGCTCTTTCACTCTTTTCCTGCACAAGTATCTGTCCTGTCCTCTGCATCAGGTTGGTTCTTGTGCCAAACCCCACCGTGTCAAGTCAGAAGTCAGCTCACTGGGAAGCAGAAAGATTTCTAGTTCTGAGGTTTTGTGTGTGCTGGGGGGTGGGCTGGTCATGTTTGTGTCTTTTTCACGTCTGTCCCTTCCTGCTCTTAGTTTATTTTTTAGTCATGTTTATGAGTTGAATTGACTTTCTGGAGAAGCCCAATGAACCCCAGAAATGGCTCAAAGTAGGCAGCAGGAGCTCAGGTCCTGGAATGTGATGGAGAAGGAGAATGCAGTGTGCTGTGGTCCTTTGGTGAATTGTTAATTGGTTCAAGCTGTGTTGTGCAGCTTTACCCTACCTAAACCCAAAGAAGTTGAGCAACATTTTGAGAAAATTTTGGATTTTGAATAGGTTTTTATTTTGATTATTGAATTGACTTTACCAGGTTGCTGCTGCTCTTAGATTTTTTTTTTATTTGCAGTTTAATTATAGCTTGCATATAAGTACATAACACTGTATCTGCAAATGCTTAATGAGCAATTAAGCTTTACTAAGCCCACTATACAGAATATTATTTTTTGTGACCTGTTCTTGTCAGTGCTTCTTGTTGCCTTAGTATTTTGCACTTCATAGATCTCATAACTTGACATTAATCACTATAGTAAGAAATGGGGGGGAACATGATGGGACTGTGTTTTTACAGGAGAAGTGAAGCACACAATCTCAAATAGTATCTGTGAAAATGTTCATTTTCCTACAAATAACTTTTGAGTAAATTGACATAGATTTTAAAGCATAATAAATGTATTTTTTTAAGATCATACCAGGTACAGATCTACTGAAGCTTGTTTCTGAAGTTAAGGAAGTTTGGCTTCCTTTTTTTGAGACCTTTGATATCCAAGAGTGGGTATTTTATTGCTCCCCTGAGATAATTCTTTAGAAAGATTGATGGGGGAGAGGACAAAAACCATGACAACCTTTTTAGTTCATTATATGACCATGAAATAACTTGGAGTAAGGAATAATTTTGGCAGTATTGCATAGTTATTTTTGTTCATTACCCTGTCTTTAAAATGAGAATATTTGGTTTGGGGAGAAATATATAAAGTTTGTGTTTTAAGTTATTTCCTAAGTTGATTTTTCAGCTGGAGACAAAACAGAAAGAATGGTGAAGACTTTTAAGTCCTAATCAAAGCAATCTCAGTTAGGATTTATCTGGCCAGGAAGAGCTTGTAATATGTTATTAGAAATTATGATTTATTTTTATTTTTGTTTATTTTCTTTCTTCCCCCCAGGTGATTCATGGCAGGGGACGTGGAAGGGTTTAGCTCCTCCATCCATGACACCAGTGTCTCTGCAGGATTCAGAGCACTGTATGAGGAGGGATTGCTTCTTGATGTCACACTTGTCATTGAAGACCACCAATTTCAGGCCCATAAAGCACTGCTTGCCACCCAGAGTGATTACTTCAGGATTATGTTCACAGCAGACATGCGAGAACGAGATCAGGACAAAATCCATTTGAAAGGTCTGACAGCTACAGGCTTCAGTCATGTCCTCCAATTCATGTACTATGGAACTATTGAACTGAGTATGAACACTGTTCATGAAATCCTTCAGGCTGCCATGTATGTCCAGCTTATAGAGGTGGTAAAGTTTTGCTGCTCTTTTCTCTTAGCTAAAATCTGCTTAGAAAACTGTGCAGAAATTATGAGACTTCTGGATGATTTTGGTGTAAACATCGAAGGAGTCAGGGAAAAATTGGATTCCTTTCTCCTAGAGAATTTTGTGCCACTCATGTCCAGACCTGACTTTCTTTCATATCTGAGCTTTGAGAAGCTCATGTCTTACTTGGATAATGATCATCTGAGCAGGTTTCCAGAGATAGAGCTGTATGAAGCTGTTCAGGCCTGGCTACGCCATGATAGAAGACGCTGGAGACATACGGACACCATCATTCAGAACATCAGGTTTTGTTTGATGACACCATCCAGTGTTTTTGAGAAGGTTGGTGCATTTGAAAAGCAGTAGGCAGGATTCATCATTTAGCTAGGGCAACATGCCATTAAATAGGTAAGATTCTGGAAGCTATGAAAAGGAGCAAAATGATAGCATTTATTTTTCTAATAAAGAAAAGCACAGAAGGCAAACATCTAGAAGTGTTGTCTTTGGTTATTAGACAATAATACCTACAGTGGCTGGAGAACAGGTATGTTTGCAGTACATGTTTATATGTGACTTAATATGGAAAAGACCTTTTGAAATAAGGTCACTTGTATCTAGTTTGATTTTGAACATTCTTAACTGTTTTCCACAAGTTGCTTCTTGCTCTCCAGAGGCTCTAGACCTGCACACAATAATGTGGGGAGTATGTTATGATAATTGCTACCAATATAATCAAATATAGTGACTGCAAATCTTATGTGGCCTAAGTACAGGGTAGAGTTATTTACAAATGAAAAGTAGCATCTGCTCTTAAATCTGCAGAGTGTTGTTGTTGTATCTTCAGTGCTTGTGCTCTTACACAGCAGTTAGAAGTAAACCCTGATCCTACAAAGTTACAAATACACTTGGTTGTACACATGACATAATGCAATCAAAAATTATTGATGGTATCAAATGTAATGATTTACTTTAAATATCAGAGGACTCATTGTAACAGCTGATCTTAGAGTTAACTTTCATTGTATGTAGTAAGAGTTAAATGAGCACTTGCCTTTTCTACTCTGCTGTTGAAGAACAGACAAGAAATTGTTTTCTAGTTCTTCAGAATCTCTGAATATTTATTAACAGCAGAGGATTGCAGTACTTTGTAAGCAGCTCTCTTACAGTAACAGTGTTCAGGTTGGGAACCTGAACTTATCTGTGGTGTTTTAACAATGTTAATTTTGTGTTATAAGATGAAACTTCAACTTCTGTATTTTTCACCTCTCAGCAAATTAATAGGATTTCAGACCCCATGTTTTTGTTGTGCTTCTTACAAATTAATCTTCCATATATTTTTACTTCAGTATCTAGTGAATATACAGACAATGTTGTATTGTTTTTAAGGGCCACTGGATCATCTAAGCAGGTTTAATGGTTTTAAGTGCCACAGGATCATCTAAGCAGTAATTCTTATTTGTGTTTCAGATTATAAGAGCTATTAATTACTTACTAGTGAATTTTTATATTTTGGATCTTTTTCTCTGTGTGTGAACTGAGTATAGGAAGTAAGAATACATAAAATATATTTATAATGCTATATTGGATTATAGACATAAAATAATTACCTAAACATATTTTAGAATACTAATGTAATGTTTCTATTGGGTTAAAACATTTTTAACTAGTAGGAGCAGAACTCTGCTGGATACTCTGTAGTGTCTTGTTTTAAATAGCACTTCTACCATACTATTACATCATTTAAGCCCTTCAGTAATAAAACCTACAGAATTCACAACATATTTTTTGAGGTTAATCTGATAATGCAGGATTTGTGTGATTCTGCTTCAGCAGTATGAGTTTTGGGGATGCAAGCTCAAGCATCAAGCTGTCTTCAGTTAAATTTCTCTAAGTGCAAGTGAAAGTGTATGTTGATCTTCAGCATTATATTTGGGTATAACTTCTGGGTTGGTTTTGATATCATTGGTATAAATCCTGCATACAGTGCTTCTCATGTTTTGTCTTGACAGCTACCAAATGGCCCAATAGGTACAACTTCAGGAGAGCAGTTGTTCTGGGCATGCCAGGTTATATACCTACATGTAAGAGCTTTATCTGGTAATACCCTCTCTGTTAATTGTATGTGGGAGCAGGGAAAAGCCCGTGCAGATTATGGAGTGAGACAGCTCAGCAGAGGGAAGCAGAGCTAATTATGTCATTTGTTACTGCAGCTAGGAATGCATTTGTGTTCCTCCCTGGCTGGAGAGTATTAAGTTATCCAGCAGGACAAGTGACAAAGGACAACTGCAGTTGGAGCCAACATCAGAATATAGAACACTTTATTTTTTTAATAAAAGAGCATGTCTGTTCACTGTTCTGGCAGTAACTCAGGGAGAGCCTCTTTCTTCTCTGTGTAGAATGGGGAAATAGTGGTAAAACTCCCTTTTTTGGAGATCCACAAACAGAATCCAACATTTTCCTGAAGCCAGCACATAGTAAATGCATGAATGTACCAAATCCAGTCTTCTTCCAGTTCACCAAACTCTATTTTCTGTACACTGGCTGACTTGTTATGTACTTTTGTGTAATCTTTCTAATACACATTTCTCAGATGCCTGTCACTGTAGGATATAAATAACTTATATAATTTAACTTTGCAAGTCATGGTGGGGATACTTTTGTCCTCGTAAGCCATTCTGTTCCTTACATCATTTTTTTGGAGAGATTTACAATTTAAAAATTAAATCAGTGAGTCTAGATTAATACCTGGAGGCTGATGTGCATTTAGAGTGCACAAGTGAAGGTACAGCATGTTTGCTTACTGCAAAATGTCCTGGAAGAATGGCTTCTGAATTATGAGTAGGTACTCCTTTTGTTCCTCAGCCCTTAAAGTACATGTATGGGAAAAATGGAAATATAAATCAAGTAAGGATTTAGGGAATAGTTAGAAAGTAAAGGCAGAGTATTTGGGGAAAAGCACAAGTTTCACTATGTGATATTATCCATGTGACATATCTATGTGCTTTCCTTTTTTACTAAACATAACCATGGCTCTGTAAGTCTTGAGGAAGTTTGGAGATAGGAGTTGGAGTGCCTTTCATCTGGATCACTGAGATAATCTCCATGTTACTGGAGGCAGCCATCTCATGATTTCCCTGAAATATGCTGTTTAAGCTCCACTTGGTTTCTGTGTACTACTCAGATTGAAATGTTGTTTCAAAATCTGTTCTTAAAACCCAGGGATTTTTTATGTCCAGTCTGTACAGTTTATTGTGACTAGCTCATGCTTATTAATTGCTAGCTTAAATCAAAAATTTACTAATCACTAGGTTCATCAGCTTCTGTGGTAGGGGTAGGATGAATAGCACATTGTCTTTGTTACTGCTGTTTTGTATCTGCTGTTCTGTTCCTAGAAAATAGTAATTTTTGAGATGTCATTGTAATTTTATGTTACTGTGATTTTACCTTTCATAAATGTGTTGAATTTATTTTTTCCCCCATTTACTTCCATTTCTAGTAATACATGTGTATCTACTTATGCAACTTTGTTTGCTGAAGTGTAGAATAAGAAGTGTGGATGAAGTTAGGGGCCCCTCTTACTGTAAATAGGTGCTGTGCTCAATATTTTTGGGTGTTAAGATTACTCTTGATGTGAATAGATTTGCTAGCAGTGTTTATTACGTGCAGAGCTTCTTAATTGTGGCATATGGATCATTGACTCCACTCTGATTTGAGAGGTTAGATTGAGTTAGACTCCAGCTTCATTTTGACAATTTCTCTTTCCAGCTTCTAAAAAGGAACAGCTGAATAATCAATTTGAGGGCATTGTCCTTGCTGCACAGAGGCTGTGCCTTTCTATGGTGACACTGAAAACACTTAAATGATTTCTGTTCTTGCAGAATAGCCCTTCACTGGTACTGAGCAGTTCTCATACCAGCTTATAATTGTGATTAGAATATGGCCAGAGATCAGTAGATGTGAGTATAATAAGGATTCCTCTTAGTGGAGTTGATGGATCTTTAGTTTTGATTCAGGTTAATCTCTAGTAAAATAAGTTTGGGGTTTTGTTTCAAGTAAGAATTTGGTCTTTAGAAATGTGATACAGATGCCATTGTTGTTCATTGGAAAGATGGAGCATTGCTTCTCTACTCCTAGGAGCTGAGTTTGAGTTGCATCACACATGCAGAATTGGCAGGCTTAGAAAACATAAGCACAATAAGTTGAAATCTTTTAAACAATTGTCTGTTTACATGACTAGAGATGATAAAGTGACATTATGAGGCATTGAGATTTTTCTGTGCTTTTGTTTTTGTTTGTCTGCATTTTTTTACCAGTTGTACAGAAGGAAGCAAGTTAATAGCCACCCCATATAATAACGTACTAAAACTTAGTTACCAGGTGCACAAATAATAGCTGTTTCATTTGGGCAGTTCAAAAGAAGCTTTTCTTTCTGATTTTGAAAGCTTTTTGTTATAAACCTAAGTAACAAGAATACAAATAGAGCAGTAGCTGTAAATGGTCGTATGAGGAAATTTTTTAAAAAGTCTGTACACTGAAGTCAAATGTGTTACAGAACATTTACCTTGCATTTCATTGCTCTTCCTGCAGCTTATTAATTAGCATAATTGGTATTGGGGAGGGGAAAAGCTGATGAACATAATGTGGGACACAGCTGATCTTTTGTGGGGATAACTTTTCAAATTAGAAAGTAATGGCTTAATTTTTTGTTTTACTTCTTCATATAATATAAATGGAAGATTCGGAGACTTCCATAGCTGCTACAACTAGAAAAGCAGGCATTCAATACAGCAGAAAACAGCCAATGATTAATCACTGCATTAACTTGGAAAGCCAGCACTTCTTATGGAGTGTTTCACTGGTTTAAAATGAAGAAGAGTTCATTAAAGTTCAAATTTACTGTGACTGGAAGGATGCCCCAAGGGGCAAGTTGAGGGATGGAGGGCAAGTAGAGATTTTTAATTATTTTTACATCTTTTATTTTGGAATAACGCATTTTATTTTGTTTCTGCTGTTCTCAGTCTGTGTAGCAGAAGAACTGAGTGAACCACTGGTAGTTCATACACTGAGATTGTTCCCATTCTCCATCTCCGGAGATCTTGTGGAAACTCTTACATTAGGCTGTGTCCCAGCATAACTTCTTTATGGGGGTTTTCTCCAGAAAATTAAAGAAATAATTGTAAAGAATGTAAAGAAAATCACATGAACAAAAGTTTAGCACTTGAATTAAATTCCTTTTTTGACGGTGTGCCTGGGGTTGATAAGGAAGTCCAACTTAAAATGCCTTTGAGACCCTTCAGGAAGATAACAGAACAGTTTAAAGAAAAACTTCAAAAATGCTTTGAAACATTTATATATTTTTATCAATTCAGAGTTGATGATGTGCTCCTAAGGAATGCACATTTGTTTTACTTCAGGGTTCCTGACAATTGCTGTACATTTCCACCTGTTTTGCCAAAGTCTGTGTGTTCTGAGTGTTGGTAATTATGGACTTCTCCATTTGAACTTAACAGGAAAATTGTTCTGTTGATAAGCACTTTGATATTTGCTGATCAACTTCTTGTTGCTACTTACAGGTAGTGGCAGAGCCTACTTTTGAAAGCTGAGAGTTTTCCCTCTGCATGTTTGGGTGTCAGATAGAAGTTCCTGCAGAAGGCCATGGGCTTTCATCTGCTGACATTCACAACTTACAGTTGTTTTAAATACCAAACAACCTAAATTTTAATGCTTCTTTAATGTTTCTGTTGTATACACAGGTAATGAAAATTACTGTAAAATTATTTGAAAGTGTAGGCAGAGGGTTTTTCTTATTAGGGGCTGAACAGGGCTTTCAAATATTTCTGGAATATTTCATAATGTGTGACTGAAAACAGGCCATATGACCTACATTTTCTTTGTTTTCATTTGCATTAAGCAAGTGAGCAGTCTGTGCTTTCCTATAGGCATATCCTAACATTCATCTTAGACATCATTTGAGCCTCAGGAGAGGTACTGCTCCAGTATGGCATTGGTTATGCTGGTGAAAGGTGGATGCCTAAAACCAGGGATATTTTTCCTTGACAGCCAAGTCTAGGAATTCTCCAGGTACCTTTTCTTACCAGAAGCGAGGTAGTTGATCACTCTTGTTTTGTGGGATTTTTCTTTTTTTTCTGCATATTGTAAGAATTGCTAGCGCTTGTGTATTTTTGAAAGGTTCAGCTCTTCAAACTTGTGCATGTCGAAGCTTCCCCGTGATCTGCAGTCACAGAGGGGTGTTAATAACTGGGAGTTGCATTTGCTCCATCATGTCTTTTTCATTTAAGGTAAGAGCTTGAGGCTTTGCTTTGACATGAGTGCCTTTGTCAAGATAAGCAGTAGTAAACAAATAGTTTGATTCTCTGGTTTTGAGGGTCTCTCTCTGGAATTAGAGACACTCCTTGTTTCTTTGGTGTGCTCTCATGGGGTGAGATTCAGGCTATGTGGAGGAGTACAGTGATGAGGTTGTAGGCTTATTTTAATTCCAGTTTCTGGCTGGCATTCCAATTTCTAGATCTAATAACAGAGTTATAAATGCTGAGGGAGAAAGAAAAAAAATTCCATCTCTGCCAGTCCTTACTGATATGCTTCACATTGTAAGCATGTTGATCCTGTTCTCTTCCATAATTATCCAAGAAAACCTGAACTGCATATAGGCAAAAAAAGAGATAATTTATGTTTTTATTTAACTCCAAAGAGGATAGCTCCAGTTTGGGAATACCTGAAGTCGTCCTGCTTGTTTGGAATTTGAAAGTTCCTTTTAAGGATAAAGTAGCCCAGCCACAATTCTTTGTTATTTTAACTAACTTTTTCATTTTTTTTTAACTTTTATCTGTTACCATTTTTCTGTGCTGTTATTCTCCCTGCCAGCATATTTTCTGTAATTTATGTTCAGGCTTTTCAGTCAGGCAAGGTATATGGTTTATTCTAACAAATACCATATGAGCAAATCTGTCTTTGCCTGATATATTATTGATTTGCAACAAGAAAGTACAGGTGTTGTTCCCAGAAGAGTTGGGCTTACTGTGGGTTTTCTGTAAGTACCATACCTGAATAGACCTTTTTGCTCCAAAATCACCTCTGGTAAAAACAGTAGAAAGAGGCTGGACATTGCTTCAAGAATAATATATATGATCTGCATGTGACCATCCTTTTTTTCAAAGATAAGTTGAACTTGTCAGAATTAAAGTGGAGGAAAGAAAAAGTGTAAATAAAAGCATCGAGTCACTGTAACTCTTGAGCAATACATTGCTTTGCAATAGTAGGTTAATATTCAGTTTTCTTTTTGAAATCTGGTGTTTCAAACTGTCTCAAAAAGTGTGCAAATTGTGTTCAATAATAGCAGTTCAAAAGATTTTTTTTAAACAATCCTTTGACAGCAGAACGTCTTAATTACTACACAAGGAAGATATGATTACCAGATGGCTAACAAAATTTTAATGGTATATGTTTATGGAACAAGCAGCTACTTTATTCACAAGGGATAAAGAACATTAATGTCCAAATTGCTTTCCATCTCTGTCAAAGTTCATACCACCACCCCTGAGGCGTTTATTCTTTGGGACAGAGGATAGGAAGAGGTGGGGTAAAAAAAGATGTAGCTCCTGGTGTTACCTTGTGATCACTTCAAATTTCAGAGTGGCCTCTTAATATTTTTTTTCAGAGCATTGCTTCTTATTTGGAGCTGCTGGATACTAAAGGCTTTTAGACTGTTTGAAAGCAATCCAATTTTATGCAAAAGAAATTGGGATTTAGGGTCAAATCTGATGGAGGGTTTTTGGATTTGGCAACATCTAGCAGGTTTGATTTGTTTTAGAAGTGTGATTCAGAATGCTGTGTTACACCAGAGTGTACAGGAAGGGTGAGCCTCTGAAGAGATTCCCATGGTGAGCTGAGGACTGCCTTGAGCTAGATTAATTAAAATGTTCAAGACAGGAATGGGTTTTGGAATGGTCTCAGGACCAGCCTCAGGCACTTGAATTGGCTTGGATAGTAGGAAGGGTCCCAGAAGGAATTCTTATTTTCCCCTGTGCCAGCAACTCCAATAAAACTGAACAGGGATGGCTTTTAGGTTGTAACTCTCACCTGGGAAGTGGAAGTTCAAACCTACCTCTGCAATTTGCCAAAGAAATGCACAACCAAAGGATTATAGGTGGAGATGTTTCCTTCTTGAAGGCATGTGTTAACGTGGAGACTCACGGAGGGGAAGCCATAAGGCCATCTTCAGGATGAGTGGTTGGTGCAAGCACATTCTGCAGGAAGGTGGTTAGGTACCTTCCCTTCCCACCCCATGGAAATGAAATAGCCCTGTGAGCAGAGCCTAGCATTGGGAGCTCAGGCTTCGTTTGTGAGAATTCATAAAAAAAACAGATAAGAGTAGACCTTGGTAATCACAGAATGGATGTGTAGAGTGTCTTTGAAACCCAGGAAAAGATGGAATTTTTAATTTGGGTACTTTATTGATTAAGCATAAGATGAACAGAAGCTGTTTTCAGGAGAAGGAATAATGATTCTTAGACTTGGGGATTTCAGTTGTGCCTAATTCCAGCATAAATTCTGCATGTGATTATTCTGCTGAAAATGTTAGTCACTGCTCTTAATCACTAAATTGCCTTCTGGATTTTGGATAACGACACATCCGTTTAAACCTTCATGCATAAATGCAATTGCTCTCAAGATTGCCTGAATGAGACAAAGTAAAATAATCTTCTAATGACATATAGCGATTTAGGTTTTCTGGATTGTTTCTCTCAGTCAAAATTTTAATATCTTTTAAATGTATTCATAGGTAAAAACATCAGAGTTTTACCGATACTCCCGGCAGCTGCGACATGAGGTTGACCAAGCCATGAATTACTTTCATAGCGTTCACCAACAGCCTTTGATGGAAATGAAATCGAACAAAATTCGTTCTGCCAAACCCCAGACTGCAGTATTTAGAGGAATGATAGGACACAGTATGGTAAACAGTAAAATTCTTCTGTTGCACAAACCGAGGGTCTGGTGGGAACTAGAGGGTCCTCAAGTACCTTTACGACCAGACTGCCTTGCCATTGTGAATAACTTCGTGTTCTTATTAGGTGGGGAAGAACTGGGGCCAGATGGTGAGTTCCATGCTTCATCCAAAGTGTTTAGATATGACCCAAGACAGAACACTTGGTTACGAATGGCAGACATGTCTGTGCCACGTTCTGAGTTTGCTGTTGGAGTGATTGGCAGGTATGTTTATGCAGTGGCTGGGAGAACCAGGGATGAAACGTTTTACTCCACCGAGCGGTATGATATTACTGAAGATAAATGGGAATTTGTGGATCCCTATCCAGTCAATAAGTACGGACATGAAGGGACTGTGCTTGGTAACAAGTTGTATATCACTGGTGGAATTACATCATCTTCAACTTCTAAGCAAGTGTGTGTGTTTGATCCCAGTAAAGAAGGGACAGTAGAGCAGCGAACACGGAGAACTCAAGTAGTCACTAACTGTTGGGAGAACAAATGCAAAATGAATTATGCCAGATGCTTTCACAAAATGATTTCTTACAATGGTAAGCTTTATGTCTTTGGTGGTGTCTGTGTGATCCTGAGAGCTTCCTTTGAATCTCAAGGATGTCCATCTACAGAGGTTTATGACCCCGATACCGATCAATGGACTATATTGGCTTCTATGCCAATAGGTAGGAGTGGTCATGGCGTAGCTGTTCTGGACAAACAGATAATGGTTCTTGGAGGCCTTTGTTACAATGGTCATTACAGTGATTCCATTCTCACTTTTGATCCAGAGGAAAACAAATGGAAAGAAGATGAATATCCAAGGATGCCGTGCAAGCTGGATGGCTTGCAGGTCTGCAGCCTGCACTTCCCTGAGTATGTTTTGGAGCATGTTAGACGTTGCAGCTAAAAGAGAATGAACAACGCAGTCAAATACAAAAGAGCTATACTAATTTGTTGAAAAAAATTACAAACCAGTTAAATTCCTGCAGAGACATTTCCTTGTGTGTAAGAACAATGGTTAACTGCTCAAGAGAAACAGGATGTACAGGGAGTGTACTTACAAGTTCATTAGAAAAGGTGATAGTTGGTCTGACCTTGTGAAAGCTCTGTTGTTTTTTTTTTTTAATAAATGTAATTGTAAGTATGAGAAAAAATATATATTTTTGAGTCTGCTTTTTTTGGTAACGTTTTATGTCCACAATGTGTTCTGGTTTTTTTAATGGCCATTATTCCACTATGCTTTTGAAATAAGTTGAATTTGACAAAATACTTGTGAAAGGAAGAGAAGAAAGATGTTATTTTCATTTTTTACTGAGCATCAAAATACAGCTCATCACCTGTACTTGGGTACAACCAGGTATAAAGGAACAAGCTAACCATTTCTGTATTTTATGTTGTCTTTTAGATGCTTTTCCTATTAACTGCAAAGTACTGTCAAATCTACTAAGTGTTTTTGTTTTCCCTTATTTACTTTGGAAAAGAATTTTAACCCTTTTGCATGACTGTTTTCCTGGTTTTGTATAGTTGTACGAGTAAGTCTGCCAAAATGCAAATTACACATTTTCTACTAAATTGAAAACAAAGCATTTTTATATTCAAAACACTATTTCTATGCTGCCTTCTATTGTCTGTGTTGTGTTTGTTGGTGAGTAAAAAAATGTATACACACATGTGCATACACTGTAAAAACTGTATATAAATGCATCTTTTTATGTGCAGTTACAATATTCTATTTTAACTAGTGCACAGATTCAGCCATATCTGTTGAATTTAGGGTATTCTTTCATGAGCTAAATAGTTCAAAGTTCTTAAGTGAAACTGGAAGCCTCATTTGGTATCAAAGTATCTTTAGTATATACTGATTGATCCAGTAAACTTCAACTCTTTATATTGTTGCTACATAATGAACTGTTGGTTATTTGTTATTTTATAAATTATTTTTTAAAAAGTAAACTCATTTTACCTGAGTTTCTTTTTGGTTTCAGTGTGCTGCCCGGTTTTCTTTTTTCGTTGAAATTGAAAACTTCAATAAGCAAATGCTCAGCACTGCTGTGACCCACAGTTATTTTTGGAACTAGATACTGGATATGCCACAGTTTATTGTCAATACTTTATTATACTCACACTTCAGTATGAGTACTCATATTGAAGTGGTATGATCTTTTTATTATTGTTATTATTTAATTATTAACTGTTAAGAACTACTGTGTTTGGAGAATGTGGAGTTAGGTGATTGGTTTGTTAGTATAATTTCTGTTTGTTTTATAAGAACCTACACAACTATGGCTACTGACCTTGGAGTGCCTGATAGAGATGGCTGGTCCCAGAGGGCTTTGACTATTCCATTGTGTTAACTTGCAGGTGGAAATGACAGTAGATTGATAAGAATTATCTGCCAAGACATAAATAATAACAGTAACTGCATTTGGACTATCTTTGTGGATGTAAGTTATCCACTTCTAGAACCCAAAGGAGAGATCTGGTGAAGCTGAAGGCTCACACATAGCTCAGATGCTGAAACATGAGCTGCATATTTTGTAAAATCTTACGCTGCTGTGTTTCATTTTAAGCAATAGACTTTACTTTATATGCAGCAATGCAAAACCACTTTATTCAGCATCTTCCAGTCAGAATTCACTGTAGAAAAGGAATGTACAGTACTCAGGGAGTTCAAAAGAATGCACTTACAAAGGGACCAAAATCACCCTAAATTTTTTATGTTAAAAATAACATCTACTTGTGTAAATGAAATTTCAAATAACAGAAGTTAAAACAATGAGTAAAACTTCTCATATTGTGTTCCTATATCTTTGTAGGAATTATGTTCTGGGTTGAAATGTGGGTATTTAGAGCTATATGGCAAGTCAGCAGATTTTTTAGGGTTTGTTTATTGTTAGAAATGATTTATTAATCGGGTATCTTCATATGTTTTAAAAGAAAGAGGGAATGTTTGCCATCATAGCTGTAGTGATAAGTTATTTACACCAGAAGGGACTGGACCAAATATTGATATTCAGCCTTCTGATGCAGACTAGTTTGAGGCTAGATTTGTCTTTTTTTAATAAGAATTCAGTTTACTGAATTAGAAATATAATTTACTTTCTTGACAGCCTAACTTAAAAAAAAATGTGGCTTACACTAAAACCTCAGTTTCACTGTGAGATGTGTGTACATCACCCTACATGGGGAGAGATAAACTGACTCTGCTGGGTGCTGGCTGTGTGCTACTGTACATAGTTCATGGAATATTGGGGCACAAGAGAGAAAAAAAAAACAGGTTGGGGGAGTTTTGTTGGTTTTTTCTGGGGTTTTGTTTTTTTTTTTTTTTTTTTTTTTTTTTTTTTTTTTTTGTCACCAGCTCATTTCTTGATGGGGCAGCAAGCTATTCCAATGTGAGGCAGCTGTAAAGGGCACGTTACATAGAGCAGAGTACTTCGCTTTCTGTGGGGCCAGTGCCAGTGTGGGGAGCAGTCCTGGCTCTGGGTATCTGCTGTTCAGGAGTCAGATGTCTTAGGGACATGGCCAAGGCTTTATTAAAACTAATGATAAGGATAGGGGTGTCTCAAGTTACCTTTTTGAGTCTGCATTTAAGCACCTTCTGAAGCTCTGTGCACTCAGCAACTGCCACTAAAGTCATTGGTGAGTGCTGACACTTGAAAAATGAAGAGCCAGGTTGGTTTTGGTGCTCTGCTTTTAAGCTCATGTTTATCTCCAGGTGCCCGGTTCTGAAAGATCTTGTTCAGGATTGTAGTAGTAATTGTTCTGTGAAATTGTAATTGAACTGTTGGTTTCAGCTTCCCTGAAGCTATGTCTCCATTGAGAAGCTGGAGACATTTTCCAGCATTAGGGATGGTTGGAATTTGCTTGGGATTAGAATGGTGAGGATATGTGAGACTGTTTTGTCAATTTACATATCTACTGTGCTTTCATTGTTTCAGACCCGAAATATAAAAATTAGCTTGTCTTCTCCTTTATACTATAATGGAACTTTTGAGACAGTTATTTTGGTTACTTGGAGGGATTTTTAAAATTGAAATGTTTTTTATGTTTGCTCTTAGTATTTAGCTCCAGATAATTTAGTACCTTAATAGGAACAAACCTAAGGTGGCTATAAGAATTGCCTATTACTATCAAATTTTGAGCATTATGGTCAGATTAAGATGGGTTTTTAAAAATAGTTTAATGCCTCTCATTTGTCAAGGAGTAGCTAAGTTATGATCTTTGATTATTAGATTTGGAGAGGTTCTCTTATTCCCATCCTATAATGGAATACCAGCAAATCTAATGTCACCCACATATTTAAAATTCAACATATGACTTGCTTTGAAAAGCAAATGTACTTGCCTTTTTTAGAAAGGTGGACATAGTGAGCTGCAATCTAGGTTGTGGGGTTTTTTTTCACATCTATAGAAAAAATGTATCAGCTTCATTTCTTAATTTAGCAACCAACTTCAGGAAGAAATTTTCTTTTCAAATGAGACAATGGACAAAAAGCACAGTGTTCCTGTAAAGGGACTGGATACTCCAGTTCCCATTCCACATGCTCCTAGGTCTGGTTTTAGGGGGCAGATTTTTTTTTTATAAGTAATGCATAAGGAAAAAATAGCTCACTTTCTGCCACAGAGTGTTGGTAGTTTCATTGTGAGAGGCAGTGGAATCACCAATCAGCTGGCAAAAAGAAATGTTAGGTATTTTTTTCTCCATAAATTCAGCTGGAAGAAGGCAGACCTTGGTTTTATAGAGGTCCTGCTGTTTCAGAAAGCACTGCTGGCAAGTGGCAGCATAGGAGCTACCTGGCAACCTGCTTTTATGTTACTTTCTTTTGAAAAATGTGGATGCCCTACTTCCTGCAGTGTGATAGCAGTCCTGTTAGAACTAGCTCTGAGGGTTTGTCTGTAATATTTCCCTGGTTCCTGAGCTTTGCAGCTATTGATTCTTGAGGCCCTCCTGCCTTAGAATCCCAAGTGCTGCATTTCCTCATGCTGATAATAGGGTAACTACTTGTGTCAGGGATGAAACTTCACTTGACACTCAGGAAACAAAGATAAAATTCAACAGGTGCAAATTCAAACTGATATGAAAAACCCCATTGCTTAAGTCATTATGTCCATTCTTTAGCAAAGGGAGGGTAGGCATTGTGGGGAGACACTAACAGTTCTTTAAAATAAACTTGTAGTTTGTGTCAGCCTGCATATGTCGGAGTCTTTTTAGAAGTAGTCACATTTGTAGAGGTATTTTGCCTTTTTAATATATTTTTTCTTAAAAAAATAAATAGTGAATTGAGCCCCAGATTCTTTTAACACTCAGATGTGGACTTCACGTATGTGATAGTCCAATGCAAAGACTCAGAATCTCTAAGGTACTTAAAGGAAAACATGTAAGCACATGTGTTACTAAGCCTGTGCTTAAGGGTTTATAGGGTTGGGGCCATCAAAGAAAACATCTCTCCTGCTAATAAATATATATATATATAGGTGGTGAAGTTACTTGAATAAGCATCTGTCACACATGGCGGGTTTCCTGAAGGAGAGTGGGAAAGAACATAACTGGAAAATACATCATCTATTTAAACAGAGCTTGCTGGTGTCCTGTAGCTGACATTCTGAGATTTTTGTGTTTGTTAAACAACAAAAAGCTGCTTAAAATAAATGCTAATGACTACTTTTGCATCTGTATTCTATTTTTGAAAGTTGGTGAGTAACTTGAAAATTTCCATTTTGTGTGGGTAAACTTCATAAAATAGTTGTATGTGGCAGGTGGCAGAAAAACTAATTTGTTTTGAGCACAGCTTTCCTGTGTGTCCCTCTACTAATTTTTTTACACTTCTCTAAGTTCAATTTATGTAATCTTTAAAAAATAGCTTTCAAAAATCAATTTCAAGTACATTTGGATTAATATTAAGTTGGTAGCTAGGGGAAATAATTTCTATTTGCAGATAGTTTTTATTTATGGCTCTGGTAGAAAAATCTTACTGTAAGTCTAGGAAATGAAGTGCTCTGTAGGACTGTAAAGTTAGCTATATCTATGGGGGCTTTTATTACCTCAGTGGGACCCACCTAACTTTTATGTCATGTTGGAGCAGGTGAAGGGAAGAGTGAATTATGTTTTTATGTTAAATATTTTTCCCTATATATTGTTATTTTTGTAGATCTTTCTAAAATAAATTATTATATGCTGGAGATTGCAATTCCATTATAATATCCCACAATTCCAGTGTACAATATCAGATTGTTTGTATTGAAAAGAATGTATTCGATAAGTTAACAGGAAAAGTTATTTTCAAACTGTACTGTGTTTGTGTCTAGCTATTGGAAATACTTTTCCTATAGAAAATCAAAATTATATGTCTGTGTCTTCATATATACATTTGGATTACCTGTCTAATGATTACCCTAGGACTGCTATAAACTTATCTAAATAATTTAAGAATTGCCTCTTTTTAACTGTTTTAAAGTGTTTTTTCTTGTCCTTTTTTTTTTTTTGGCAGAAAGTAATTTTCCCTTGCTATGGATGCAGTATGCTCAGACTTGCATATGTGCTCTGTTTGGGTTTCAAGCTGAAAAAAATGTATAAAATGTGTATAAAGAAAAGTGTAAATAAAATATTTTTAATCTTTAAACACTCTTGTGTAAACTTTGTAGTACTCAAAAATGCATTATCTTCTGGATTATCTTCTCTGGGACTTCAGAGATGACTCAGTTAAAGAGCTCTTCAAAGCTGTCTTGCTGCAATGTCTAGGTAAGATTTTGTTCAAGTTATCCCATCAAGTTGGATGTGCTTACATAAGCAACTTCAAGCTCTTCTCTTTAGCTGTATTTTACAGTCATCCCACTCTTAATTGCTATAGTGTGTTTATCTGTTTACTCTGCATTTCAGGCTTGAAGGAATGTGTGGAGTTGAC